TATGGGATGAAATCAGATAAGGATGAACGGGTTTAAGAGTTTAAGAGTTTAAGAGTTTTTAAGAGTTTTAGCCAAATGTATTATAATATAGTATAGATTTATATATAATAATAATAATTCAATTTCATTGGTGGGTATAAATAGGAACTTAGTTTCTATCCACACATCAATTTTTAGAGAATTATCTAAATTTGAAGTTTTATCTGGTTTTCTTTATTTTAAAGAATAATATAGATGATCTGTTGAAATAAAACAGAAAACAAAATTCTCATTTTCTTTATTTTAGAGAATTTGTTGGAAATGCTTTTAACATGTCAAATATATATATATATATATATATATATATATATAATGAAGAGGGGGTTCAAAAGAGAACAATAACTAAATAAAAGAACACGAAAACGATTAAATCACATGCAAAATCACATGTAGTTTTACACTAATGGTCAATGCAACGGTGTGCGAATGACATGACCTACAATATGAAGTCGCGACTAAAATTGTATGGATCACATGTGTTTACAAGCAATTCTAGTGTGATTTACATATGATTGAACTGTTTTTTATTCTCTTATTTTAATTATTATTTTCTTATGAACTTTAAATTTAAAAAATCCTAAGGTTTTGAATTAATTTTCGAACCACTCTCATTACATTTAATTTTTATTTTTTTTATCGAAACATAATCTAATTTATTTATTTCATTTATTACAAAATATTATGTCGAAATAAATCTATATTTTTTAATTTCATTTAATATAATTTATCTGTGAAGCTTAAATTTGATGGGTTTACTTAACTCATTGACCGAGTGACAACCCCATATTCCATTCCAGACTCGGACTCGGACTCAGACTCAGACTCAGACTCGGACTCGGACTCGGATCATATAAATAAACCCCCTTTTTCTTACAATGAACTTGACACGACCTATTCCGGCCGGCAAACCACCCAACCCCACCGTTTTCTTCGCAAAATATCCACACAGCCGGTGGCCCTAATCCTTTCATCACTCTCTTAATTTCACTCCAGAAATCGACCGTCCATCAGTCCTTTCCCCTTCACACCCTTTACAACCCTAATTTATTCTACAATTTCCTCTATAATAAACCCTCTACCGGTCATGGCGGCAACCATTGAAGGCCAAGATAGAGTTTTGGCTACGGCTCAGCAAATCGTCAAGAGCCTCAACATCAACACCAAGGCCACGGAGGATATGATCTTGATTCTCTCCAGTTTTGATAATCGTTTGTCTAACATCACCGATTTAATGGAGGGCGGTGCCGCTGGTGAAGAAATCGATCATCGGTTTCAAACTGCGGAGAAGGTTATTCTGCGGCATGATTCTGGAGGTCTTGGTGAACCCTCGTCTAGGAACTCGTCGCCGTGGGAGGAGTCTCCTACAGAGGCTACTGAGTATTTGGAAGCCGTTGATACGATTATTAAATATACGGAAGACCTGAATATTCAATCCGATGGCGACACCGAGATCATGGATCGAGCTGAGAACGCGCTCCAGTTGGCTATGTCGAGGCTCGAGGATGAGTTTCTCCATATTTTGATCCGTAACACAGTCCCTCTCGACATAGATCGGCTCTATGGATCGATCCGTAAGGGTTCGCTCTCCTTTGCGTCAAACGAAATTGAAATTGGAGAAGATTTCGACAGCTTCCGAGAGGAGGATCACGGAGGCAGCAGTGGGTATCATCACGAAAGAGGTCCGAGCTTAGGGGGCGATGTTTTTGTGGATTTGATCCATCCTGAAGCAATTAAAGAGCTTAAGGCCATCGCCGATCGGATGATTAGGTCCGGCTATGAAAAAGAGTGTTGTCAGGTTTACAGTAACGTTCGCCGGGATGTACTGGACGAGTGTTTGTCCATTCTCGGGGTAGAGAGGCTTAGTATTGAGGAGGTACAGAGGATTGATTGGAAAATTTTGGATGAAAAAATGAAGAAATGGATTCAAGCCGTTAAAATTGTAGTCAAGGTTCTTCTGTTTGGGGAAAAACGCCTATGCGAACAAGTCTTCAGTGAGTCCGAACTCATCAAAGAAATCAGCTTTGTTGAGACGACCAAAGGATGTGTGATGCAGCTGTTGAATTTCGGGGAGGCCGTAGCCATTGGGCAAAGATCTTCAGAAAAGCTCTTTCGGATTCTTGACATGTATGAGGTCGTTGCAGATGTTTTGCCTGATTTTGAAACCTTATTCGCTGATGAATCTGGAGATTTAGTTTGCAACGAGGTGAAGGGGGTTTTGAGTGGACTAGGTGAGGCAGCCATTGGAACGTTTGTGGAACTTGAGAATGCTGTGAAGAATGAAAGTTCAAGAAGGGCTATACTGGGTGGCGATATTCATCCATTAAGCCGTTATGTGATGAATTATATCAAGTTATTGGTTGATTATAGTGATTCGTTGAATGCTCTGTTGCCAAACAGTCAGGATCTTGATCGTGGTTCTTCAGAACTTGATGATATTGACAGTGGTGATACTTTGTCCCCTGTTTCATGCCGCCTGCTGTCACTAATTACTTCTTTGGAATCAAAGCTGGAGGAGAAGTCAAGATTGTATGATGATAACGCAATGCGATACATATTCTTGATGAATAACATCCTTTACATTGTTCAGAAAGTAAAAGACTCTGAGCTCAGAAACCTTCTGGGTGACCGGTGGATTCGCAAACATCGTGGTCAGATTCGTCAATGGCACACAAGTTACCTCAGAGCGGCTTGGGGCAAGGCTTTGTTGTGTTTGAAGGATGAAGGGATTGGTGGGGGATCAAGCAGTGCCTCCAAGTTGGTTCTTAAAGAAAGATTCAAGAACTTCAACGCATGTTTTGAAGATATTTACAGGATACAATCAAGTTGGAAGGTGGCTGATGATCAACTCCGAGAAGAACTTCGAATATCCATATCTGAGAAGGTGCTTCCAGCATACCGTGCATTTGTGGGGAGGTTTGGGGGTCAACTAGACAGTGGAAGACATGCTGGGAAATACGTCAAGTACAGCCCTGATGATTTAGAGAATTACCTGTTGGATTTATTTGAAGGGCAAGCTGCTCAATTGAACAACATGAAAAGAAAAGGTACATAGGATGCAAGACTCTTTCTTAACAGGTATGTATCATGAGTGTGGTTGTTTCTCTGCTTACCTCTTAAATCCTTCATGGTAATCTGAGATGGTCTTCATTTTTGTTGTTTGTGTCACAGGTTTGGGTTGAAGGTAGTGAACTGCTCACCTCAATATACTTTAATAATTTTGTACATTTATGGTATGGTAGATCCCCGCTATATGTAACTTATATAATCGTTTCTTGCATTCATTATGAATGCATCAGCTGTTGCACTGAGATTCTGGTATGATATATTTGATGGTCTCCTTGGTGTTTCTATTGAGTTCGTTTTTTAACAGCAAAGGGAAAGGAGCTTGACCTCCATGTTATTGCCACCTAGGTGCGTCCTATATTCCATTGTTCATCTCTTGTTATCTTTAGCAAACAAATACTTCCAGTAACTTGGTGCATTCATCATGCTTGGTTTTTTTAAAATTTCTAGAGCTTTTCTTATCACATTTGAGTTCTCCTGAACCATGACTTGATGGGTTTTTGTTTGATCTTGGGAATTTCTAGTATCTGCAAGCTGCATAACTCAGCAATTATGACTTCATGTTCTTGATGGACACTTGTTTGAACTTGGGAATTTCTAGTATCTACTAGAAATTCATAGTCGTTAGGATTTTATCATACAATTCATGAAATTCGTGATACACTCAGGGATGCAAGGGCACGTTTGAGTGAAGAAAACCTGTTATTACAAACAACCATCTATGGATGAAATCATATTCTTACCAAAATTGGGCTAGGAGGCCATGCAGTTGGATCTGCATAGTTGTAAGACTGTTCTACTGTTCAAAAGAGGTTCCCTTTCTAATAATCATTTCAAAGTTCTCTTCTTTATAGGATGTGTTTTGAGTCATCTAACATATCCAAAGCTGATTCCTGCCTTCTCCATTGGAAATGCACCATGCCCACCAACATCTTAGCAGAAAAGCAAGTATTAGCTTCTTAATTAATTGAAAACATATGCTAAACGAACTAATTAATGAACAAAATTTCAAACACCTTTTGTCTTTGAAGATCTCTGTGTGGCCAAATATGTCTCTAGTCACTTGTGAATGTAATTCTGTACAGATAGTATTAGGAACCAAATTTTTTGTCGCTCTTAGCTGTCGTTGCCTTTTGCTTGTAGGTGGTCATAGTGTTTCAGAATACTTGATTTGAAGGAAAATGAATATTAGAGTCGTGTCGTGGAGGGATATAGACAAACGGAAGCTCAATTAGGCATGTCAAAGTGATTAAGATACCTAATGGACAGTCCAAGAGTTGAATCTAGTTTGAGCATCTTCTTATGTGTGATTTTCTAGATTTTTAAAAAATGCGATACAAACAAGTAGAAGTTTTTGTCAAATTCAATGAGTATCATAAGTTCCTTTTCAATTTCTGACTCTCTTTTTGTCACACTTTTCACAAGCCTGGGAGTTTTCTTGATAACAGTTGTACTTTTTGGGTAGAGGTCAGGTCTGCCAGCATTTTACCATCCCAAACCTCACTCACCTCCGGGTGATATATACTGAGGTCTGAGTTGATTGGTTTGGTTTTTTCTTAGTGACCTCATGCATCCGAAATGGCACAAAGTTTTGTAGCGTTCGTTAGGTTGTAAAATGTGCATACAGTTTTATGTTATCCAGACTTTTGACATACAAGAATCCACCTAAATGATTAAGTTATACATCTTCATTCATTCAAATATAGAAAAGTTGCAAATTAACAGGAGACTCTTGATGACAAAAACACCCTTGTTACAATGGACATTTGTTCCTAAACCCTAGAGTTTTGAGGCAAGGGCAAAACACCATCAAAGAAATCCCCAAAATATCCTCTAGGCTCGTGTACTAACCTAGATATGATATCTCTCAGTGTTATCAATCCTTCAAGGTTCCCTTGATCATCAACCACATATATACGATGACCCTTCATCGAATCAAGCTTCATAATCACATCTTTAAGTGTATCCTCTTTTCTGCAGGTAATCATGCCACTCATCACAGGTAATGCCTTCTCATTCTCCTTCAAGTAGTTTTTAACTGCTGTTACGAAGTTCTTAGTCGTGATCGATCTGCATTATAATTAAATCCCGACACCGTTATATTATGTTAATAAGATTCTCATTAACACTTTAAACAATAACCAAACCAGGAGTTATTCAGCTAGATACGAACCATCAAAACTTGTATAGATGTATGTAGGAACATTCCCTCTCTGTAAGGGGGCTCTTTTAGAGAGAGATTCAAAAAGATTCCACAATCGTAATGAGTTTGGTATGCATATGGGACTGGACAGGACAAGATTGGACGGGTGAGAGTGAGTGAAAAAATTGTGGAAGGTTTTAGGGTTTTAATTTGACATGAGTAATTTAGTAATATATCAATCTTGTCCTATCCCCTTGATTTCTGTTCATGTCTAATGGTGCGCTAAACGTGGAAGAACAAGTTTTTTGTAATGTCTTGTTCTACATACATACCGAACGTCCCACCAGAAAGCCTATGAGGTCGGTATATGTGACAAACCTATAATCTTTGTAAATCTCGGGGGCAATTAGGAGAAATTGAATATCCCTGATGCTTATGTTACCAATCATCTTGTTTCCGCCGCTAGCAACCACCGGCACCCCGCCAACTCCCTTCTCCTGCATCATTCTAAATGCCTGTAGAACTGGTTCATCCTCGTCTACCTRAAAATCAAGAAACAAACARGAYATTAGACATGAYATCTATGTGAAAGRTTACAAGAGTGTCTTRGAGRGTTKYAGACCGACCTTRATAACCCGATTAGATTTCATAAGAGGAAGACCAAGTTCGTATAKTTTCTTAGATCCCCARCTTTTGAACCATTGGAGATCTGCACATTCCTCCAACATATGGAATACTGCAGATTGGGTGATAATGTTGTCGATCTTCCTYTCCCCTAAATCAACCACTGGAATACTCTTCATTCTGTACTTTGATAGCAGTAAAAGCATGGTCAGAAAGGAGTTGGATGGTTGCAAAGCAAGAAATGGTGCCCAGCGAAATGATCCCGAGATATCTTTAACCTTTGTGTTTTTATAGAAATCAGAAGAAGTCAATAGCTCAAAAAAGTTGCCAGCGGTTTTAGGAGAACCAGGCTGTGAGCTCCGATATCTTGGGGAAGACATCCCGCTCGCTGCTGCTGCAACCGCAGGTCCCGTGGTTTCTTGTAATGCTCTAGCAAATACATCTGCAGCATCTATCCCACTATTCTTTTCTGACTGCACAAATAAAATCCTATCAACATCAGCTAATTTATTTAAAGACTGATTTTACATTTTTATTTTACTTGCCAGGTCAATACAAGCTGATAAGCTTAGTAGAAAAAGCTTGGTAAACAACCATTTTTAGTAAACACTTACCCGAACCAAATCTATATTGGTATAATTGAATTAAAGGAAAGGAGTGTAGAACCTGATGCAAAATCCAAACGACAATGCCTGCAAACTCTACGATCCCGAGATATCTGTCCATCCAACTAGAATCCTCGGGTGCATCAACGTCCACAACCGGTGCACTTAGAATTTTATTTTGAGATAGCAACCGAACGGCTTCACCTAGACTGGCATCCGATTTGATCTCGATTACTGGACAAAATCGATGGATATTTACATATACTTGAATCAATAAACCAAATCTCTCTCTCTCTCTCCCTCACACACACACACACACATATATATATATATATATAACAAGCTGTAATGTTTTGAATACCTTGGGAAGAGGAAGCTTGTGGAAACTCTGAAACAGGAATGCTTTCGAAACAAGCATTAAGCTTCTCGGTTGGAGATAGTTGGGGCTCTTGTACGTCCCACAAGTCTTCCACTTCCAGCCCTAATTTAGCCTCTGGGCTTCTCGGACTTCCCTCTTCCACCACCATTTTTCTCACTTTCTTTCTATCCCTCTCTGAAATTCATTTGTGTCAAAATGGATTATTTTGGCATTTGCGGGCTATTCGGTTAACTGACCATAAATTAGGGGAATGTATGTTTATCCGCTTATTCATCATGTCCCCATTTCTTTTTCATTTTCATTTTCTTTTTTATTAAATTAAATTACAAATTTCGTCCTTCTACTTTTATATTGGTTAAGGAAAATCTATGACTTTCATTATTTGTCCATTATCTTGAAAAACCTGTTAATTCATAGGCATTTTGGATATTTTGCTTGTTTTAATTAATTTTATTTATTATAAATGTATTTTACAAGTCTTTTAAGCATTTCATGATAAAACCAAAGCAAAAAATATCCACACCCAATCTCTTACCGCTCCCTACTTTGTCTGATCATCTTCTCCACTGTCTCTTTTCTCTCACCATTCACATCAAATCAAAACCGAAACCCATAAAACATTCAATATTAACATTAGAAGTGGTAATTTTAATAACGTCAACCAACTTCATCTTAAAAGAAATTATTACAAGACTCGTATAAATCGAGAACTCTAAATCTAAATCTCATTTCTTAATTTAACCTTGACAGGAGACTTGAAAACGGGATTAGGGTGGTTGGTGGAGTTGGAGAAAGATGGGAGAGATACACAATGGTCGAAGATGGAGAGTTCCAGGTCTAGGGGTTTACCGGAAAATAGATAGCCGGAGGAGGGTGTTGGTCATAGATGAGAGGGGCATCGGTTGTGTCTTATTTGTTGCTATGTTGTGTTTATATATCATGTAAATATTCTACTTTTTAGTAGAAATTGAGAAAATTGTAAATGGACCAAAATACCCCTGACTTAACGAAACTAATGTTAATAGAGTTAAGAAAAGGAATCTGATATATAGTGAAATACTGAAATTTAAACCCTGAGGATCCTGGTCATGGATTTTAGAGTTCGGAAACCTTTTTTGTAATGAAGATGAAACCATAAGGATAAATTTTGTAGTTTACTCTTTTCTTTTTCTGGGAAAGAAGTCGAACACTTCCTTTTCCGTTTTATATCAAAATATATCATTTCGCTAAAGAAATCTAAAATATAAATTACATGAATAACCATAGCAAAACATCTGATAATCCTTCTTTTTTAACCAAACTTTTAGCAATATGTTCATTAAAGAATCAGAGAGATCGTCAAAACATGAACAACCTCGTAACACATATATGAACGTTATTTGCTGAAACACATGCAACTCAATATTTAAAAACTAACACATGAATTCACTCAATAGTATTGGGTATTAATGAGTCGAGTCAAGTAACAGGTTGTTTGATCCAGGCTCGAAAAAATAATATCAAGCTCGAGCTCGAACATTTTTTTTTCCGAATGTTGGAGCATGAGTTCAATACAAAGTAATTTAACAAATTCAAGATCCATTAACTCATTTATTGGTTCGACCTCAACATCTAGTGTTAGTACAACCTTTTTTCTATTTTGATTTATTTATGAACATATGAACGTATTGAAAATTTGTGTCCATGTATGGTTTGGCTCGACTCAAAATTTTAACCGAACTTTATTTTGTATCCGAAATCGAGAATTACCAAGCTCGATATCCTTAACATCCTTACTGGACACAACTGGCTTTAAAATCCTTTTTTGAGGTCTCGTTTGCTTTACAATGAATGGAATGAATTTGGAGGGATTTGGATTTTAAACCTATTACAATCTCAAGTTTGGTTTGTTGAATTGTCCGGATTTGAAATCCTATGATTTAATTGAAATTCTACAAACATAAAAATTTGAAATCCTTATGGGATGATCAGGATTTCGTAGGATTGTATGAAATAATGTTTTAAAAAATGTTAAAAACATTTGTTTTGTAATAACCGATTAATAAAAATGTAATTTAATTATCTTTATAATTTTTTATATATTATTTATAAATAATGGAATCCAATTTCATTTCAAATCCTGCAAACCAAACACACCAATGATTTCAAACTCATTCCAATCCAAATCCCTCCATGAAATCCAAATCCCTAAAAAGCAATCATGCAAATCAAACGAGCCGTAAGCGAATTTTCCTACAAAATCAGAATTACCTTACTGATTATTTTACTTTATCGATGTTAAATATGCATCCTAACACATTCTGAGGTGATTTGAACTGATACAAACTCCACTTCATGAAAACCATAAGGTAAATTGCATAAAAATATAACATAGTTCGATTTAATTCATATTTTTTGTAACATACTTCTAAAACTTTCATTTTAATACATCAAATATGATCTTTCAAATATATCAGTAATTGGTTTACTTATCAGTTACGACTCGTTGCTTTCAATCCCACAACTAGCTAGACCATCATCTTGGATAATGAAACCTCATCAAGCACTATTGTATCATGAGGGATATAAAGCGATATAGAAATTTTTTCAAGTGGTGACACCATTTGATTATAAAAAATGAAGCTATATATTTTTTTTTACAAAATCATCGTTGGTCTATTGGTTAATTCTTTACTTTTGCATGTAAGATCATGTATTCGAGTCTTTTATCTCAAAAATTTCAGAAACACAATAAACTGAAACTAAAAGCTAAAAACTAAGATGATGATACAAATGAGATTCAAACCTAACCACTAAAAGGGGAGAAAAGACCATTCAAACCAATTCTACCAAGATAAACTTGCTTTATTATCGTAGTTTCAAATAATATTTGGTTGCACCCAACAAAATTATACGGTAACACCTTTCACAACCCTAAAAATTTCTACACTACGATGGAGGTACGAAGCGATGGCATATGCCACTGTATGCACCAGATCATAGCGGGTCCACCCCTAGAGGGGACTTCTGTTGGCATCGATAATCATATTTCCAGCTTTTAGTTATACTTTGTTAATCTCGTTATAATGTAAGAAATTTTCAGTCACTGCTTATACGAGTCATACATCTTTTTTACCACAAAATCAACCACGTAATATTTTTCGACAATTTCAACCCTATTTCTTGATAAAGAAACATGATCGACGTTCAAAATGGAAACTGTACGAGGAGATAATCATAACATCCAAAAATCAACCAAAATGTTTTAAAAATTAAAATCGATGGGTTTCTGTAATGGTCAAAGACATAATTTTGTCGTACATTTATACTGATATACGTCAAATATATGAAATATTTAAAACTTTACATTTTATATACCAAAATAGAAATTTAAAAAATATGTACCCAAAATAGGAATCAAGTTAAAAGAAGTCGGTTTTTCATGCAATTTTAGTAATTAATTTTTTGAAATAATTTTGCGAGGGTTTGTGTTCCGCTATAAACTGGTTCCAACGTCAACCGTTTTCTACATTTTGTTCGAATTGGTACCGAAGGGTTTTTGTTTGCCAATTGCCACCATGGATGCCCCCACAACTCCATCGAAGAACCCTAAGGGGGCTTCCAAGCTCCTCGCTGATCTTCCATCCAAAGGGCTTTTTTCCTCCGCTGTCGTTTCTTCCAATTTGGTACTTCTTTCTAAACCCTAGGCTTTTTAGTTTTTTTGTTTTGTTTCACTTGATCGTTCGATTTCGTGTTTACCATTGATTTGCTTTTGGCTGCTAATAACTAGCAATTGCACCGATTGTTTATTAGATTGAAAGTATATAAAAAAAAGGATTGTTAAATTGGATAACGGAAAATGATTATGGTGTACACGAACTAGGCAAAATGTAATCGAGTGTGTTACGATCAGGCACTGATGTTGTGATCGTAGTTGGGAATTCGATTGTTTATGCACCTTAGACTGTTTGTTATTACGTGTTAAAGGATTCAAAGTTCATGGGTTGTTAAGTGCTCGCATTCGCATCTTCATATATGTTGCTGATAGCATTTGGTACAATCCTCTTATTTCATTTGGGTTTATTGATATGCAAGTGCTACTGGGCACTGTTTATTTGAGGGAGAATGCATATTCCAGGAAATGCAAACGATTTAAATTGTTAGGTTTTCTCTCTTGTTGCTCAAGATTTCTCTGGTCAAGTAGTAACCTAGCATCATGGAGATTTGATCCAGGACCCTTATTGTCAAAGTTATGAATTTTATAGCTTCTAGTATTTAAAGTTTTGGCTCTAGCTTATGATGATTACCACAAAGTTGACATGAAGAGCACTGACCCATTAAGAGATAATAGCATTTAAAATTATTAGGTTTGATGTTAATGGTATGTCTGAATATGGAAGTGTTATGCTATTTCAGTATCAGCGCCTATGCCTTGTTCTTTACCTTCTTCTTTTTCTTTCTTTTTACCTTTTTCTCAGTTTTTGCACCTGACTATATTTTTAATGCATCTATGCAGGGTGGAATGCGGGTCTATGTCACTGATCATGATACATCGCCTCCTGGTAATTTTCGATAGTTTATGGCCACAACATATTACACTGGATTACTATGTCAAAATTGTAATGTTTTGATGGTGGCATTTTTAATATTCTTAAATATTCATGTCTATTAAGTAAGGTGGTCAAAATGGTATGTTTTGATTCTATGTGTTTCATTGAGAAAATGATGTGAATCCTATTAGTGGGTCTGAATCATGCTTCATTCCTGTTCTGTTGGCTGAGTAGAAAGGTTTCTTTTGTTGGTGTTTGGTAAAATTTTAACGAAGGGCGAATACCACAAAGGGAATGTTTTCATGATTAAAGCAAGTATGTTCCAATTTGTAAGTCACTAGGATGCTTATTTTTTGTATGTTGACCCTTGATGTTTAACTTATTTAGAGAAGTCTGAATATATGATTGGGTTGTCATAATTCACAATTCAAGAAACTAGTATAGCAATTACGTAGGAAACTCTAAAACTGTTTGAAGATCCTCAGAAATAAATTGCATTACAGGATAATTGAGACTTTCTTACAATTATGAGGAAATGGTTAATGGATAATGTGTGACGTTTGAAAATACGCAATTTGCAAATTCTAAACTGGCTGAACCCCCCCCCTCTCTCTCCAAGAATAAGGTTTGTTTTAGCAACATATCCTGTAAGCGGCTGAGTTAGTAGCCTACCCTAAAAATTCTATCACAAATGATATTAACATGATGGATGAGACTAGAGCTCTCAGAGATGGGTTCAAGCTTATCATGGGAACTCTGCATATAACTAGCTTGAAGCATTGCACTGAGATTGGTGTTGGGCTGTTGGCGTTTTCAGGGGAATTTGATGTCTACTGTCACGTTAAAAAATTACGCTATCGAATTAAACAATAAGTTATACTTGCTTCATCCCGTGAAAAATGCATCAACTTCTACTTTCAGATCCTATGAGAATTGTGACACGTCCTTTCTTTGGCAAGTATCCAAGGTAGCATTGCCTATTTGTCCGTTGACATTAATGCAACTTCTTGATGTTGTTGATTGTGACATCAATATTCTTTTATTTGCCTTAATTGAAGGATATTTAAATGTTTGACAAATAGTCAAACACTTGCATAATACCATGTGTTGTTGAAACATTGTAAGAGTTTCTATATGTAAAGTACACTACAATATTACTTTCTCATTTTGTTTGTGATTTAACTTTGTCATATGTTTTGGAAATTCCAAGAATATGATTACGATTAGTTGCGTTGCATAAGGAGTAATTCTTATCAATGGCAGCAAGTATCAAGACACGATGCAACAGCAATATGTTAACATTATTTTATTAATGTGTCACACTACCTATATAATTACGGTGTCGAAAAGAGGACATGGTTGATTATGATGGTTTGTAAATATGTAGCTTTCTGATGCAATTATTTTGCATGCTAACTGGAAGATTTGAGTAGTTGTCTTTTCTTCTATTCAGAAAACCAGCTAATAAAGACAGATCAGATGAACATACTTATTAGATCTCTTTTGCTTAAGCAACAACAAAAAGGGGAATCAAGTGGAAAAGGTGCAAAAGAGGGTTCAAGAAAGAGGTATATATTGTCTTCTAATTGTTTTTTTAGAAGAGTGAAGCTTGACTGCCGCTTTCATCGTTTAAAATTTTGATTTGGTTTTGGAAAATCAGAAACAGCGTCTGACTCGTTCATGTGTTTGGTTGTTTATAGTCTTTTTCCCTTCTAATACTCCCCTTTCTCCAGGGCTTCAGAGAGAGCTGTGGATGGTAGGGCTTCTACAAAGAGGGCAGCTTCAAGCTCTCAACCCCAGCCAGGTGAGCTTTGCAGTTTCTAGTAGTAAATGGTTGTCAACACGACACCTTGATTTGTCATCCTTTTCATGACTTCCAATGATTCCAATTAATATGCTGCTAAAAGAAATGGATATGAGCCACATGGGTGGTGCCTGATTGGTTTGAGCTTGGCTCCAAAGGTCAAAAGTACCTGGAGGTCTTAGGTTCAAATCCAAGGAGGAATAAAAATCCCCTTGTGGTCACAGATGTTCAAATACGGTGACTCCGGGCTATCTGCAAAGCAGGTGGTCCCCTGGGATTAGTCGGCTCGCATAGCGGGTTGGATATTTAGGTTAATCAAAAAAAAGAAAAAAGAAATGGATATGTGATTTTTGGTCCCATTTGTGAATTAAAAAGATAAATAAAGCACATACCTTTACCAAAATCTTCCACCAATCTCAGATGAGCAAACCAAACCAAAGAAACCCAATATATCCCACTCGAAAACAGGGTTTGATCAGATTAAGATCCTTTGATGCATTGTTTATTGGTTGAGCTGCATGTAATGAGATTTGTTTATTATTATGTAGAGGGGCCTAAATCACGGGTACCTGACGATCTCCAGAGGTGTACTGTAGAGAGAATTCGGTTTCTTTTAAAGGAGAGAGGGCTTTCCCAGAGAGGGAAGAAGGCAAGTAACTTGTAGTAGCATTACTTACTATATTTGAAACACCATTTTCACAAGACATGTTTTCAACCGAGATTTGTGCAACATGCGCAGGATGAACTAATTGCGCGCTTGAGGTCTGCAACAGATGGAGCAAGCTCCGCGACTTGAAACTTTTGAGGTAATCAATTAGTGGAGAAATAGGTTATGGTAAACACAGCAAGTTAATCTGTAAACTCCATATATGCTGATGCTTCTGATTACAATTATAGACTTTTGTTTATGTGAAAATGGTAGTTTTGGTATTTGGGTGGTCATTGGCTTGTTCCGGCGTCCAAGACTTTTTGGTTCTACCGATCGTGGTTAATTGACCGGTTCTAACCATGTTGACGTGAAACGTGGGTAGACCGGTTTTCCTCATTACTTTTGTTCCCTTTTTGGGTCTATTTTTAATGTTGTCCATAATACGTCTGGTACGCTGGCGGGACTAGACTGAACAAGATTGGACATGTGAGATTGAGGTATGCAGGTGAAGTAATTGTGGCGATTTAATTTGACACAGGTAGTTTAATAATTTATAAATCTTGTTTAAAATTATCTAATTTATAAAAACGTAATTTGATATTAGTTTTAAAGTGTGTTCATATAAAAATAAAGATGATGATTATGAAAAGGCTTGTGAATAAAAAATGGAGGAATGAATATGATGAAAGCCGGTTGAAAAAATAACTAATAGAGTTTTAGAGACCTTAAAATAGGATTATGAGGGTGTGGGACTGATTGAGACATAAATGGTTTTTTTCTACCAAGAAAGTTGGAACAAAAATCACAGGGATGAAATAAAATTTAAAAAATTATTAGAAGGGTATTTGCATAATTGCAGCGAAATATATTTTAATTTTAATGTTTTGTTTTATTATGTCTCTGCATATGTTATGATATGGTTTATTTGGTTTTGAAAAAAGGGATAATGTTTTTTATTTTTGAATAAAATATAAATTTGAAGATATCATTAAAATTTCGAAAATAAATATATCGATATTAATACCAAATTAACTATTTAAAAGTTTCTGTTTTTTTATATTATTTCTTTAGTTCAAATTTTTATTATAATTTAATTTAAATTTAATAACAAAGTAATTTATTTTTGATTTAATAATATAATTTTTTGTAAGAATAATGATTATCCAAATTATATTTTAGATTTTTTATATTTAAAATAAAATGTTTATCTTGTATTTAACTATGTTTATCTGCAGTTAGTTACACGAATTCAAACATGAAGCTTTAATAAGTTATAACAAGGAATTTCAATTCCTTTCTATCATCATTTACAAAAAACTATTAGGGGGTGTTTGGTTCGCAGAATGATTTCTGAATGAATGGAATATGTCAAAGGAATTGGAATATGTAATAAATTGGAATGGAATGTTATCAGGTTTGACCAAATGTTTAGTTGGCATGAATGTAATTTAATATGTCTAATGAATTGGAATTTGTCTGTTTGGTTTGCAGCATAATTAGAATGAAACGATGAAAAAAGATAAAAATACTCTTTCTTTGATATTTTTTTTAAATTTAATTTTTTTAATCACAAATAACAATAAAATTAACATGTAATTAGAAGCAATAAAATTTTTAGTTAAATTTCAAAAATTAATTAAAATGTTTAATCTTTCTCATCCTAGGCGACCCCCACTCTTACCTTGCCCTTCTATGCTCTCATCTCCATCCTCTTCTACCATTCGCCCTTCTATGCTCTCATCTTCGGCCTCCTCTCCCATTCGCCCTTTTATGCTCTCATCTCTGGCCTTCCCTACCATGACCGTGCTCCACAGCTTCCGTCGGATACAGTTTGGAAAAACTCACCATGGGAACACAACCACCCTCTCCATCCTCCATGGTCATCTCCCTTTCGCCTTTTCTTCTACCTTTCGCTACCGCCACAACCACCACATAACCCATTTTTCGTTTTAGGTTTTTCTCGTTCTCAGATCTGCTTTTACATTTATGGAGTTGCAAGGTCGAAGCTTCAAAGAGGGAGGGGTTTAGAGGGTGTTGGCGACAATGAACCTAAATCTGGTTTGTTTGAACATTTAATGAGGAAATTGGAAGCAAGCAGTAATTGGTCGAGAGCATCATAAGCAGAAATCAGAAGCACGCAGTAATCAGTTTGATTTTGGGGTTTGATTTTGGTGTTTGATAAGCAGAAATCGGAAGCAAGCACTAATCATGAGGGTATTTTTCTCATTCACACATTTTCAGATGGAATGGATTTCAATTCCATCAGTTTTAGGAAGAAATGGTGAAATCCTCAAATGATGGAATCTTTGGAATTTAATTCCATTCCATGGGTAACCAAACATTGGAATGGAATTCGGTCAACGGAATTGCCTATTCCAATTCCACCAGATTCCGGTGGATTCCGACGAACCAACTGCCCCCCTTATACTCTTTATATCACACCGTCCCATTACATCCTACCACGATAGATGTCACCAACATCGTCGCCGCCCACCACCACCACCTCCACCTCCACCTGTCGTTGTCGCCACCACCACCACACATTATCACCATCACCGTCATTACCAATTTTGTCTTCACCCACGTCTTGTTGTCACCGCCACCACAGTCATCGTTACCACTTCCACCACTACCACCTCTACTCCACCACGACTATAATATTTAACGAACTAAACAGACATATTCAAATTCTTTTGACATATTCCATTCCAATTTCTTTCAACGAAACGCATGGCCAAATATTATTAAATTTCATTCAATTACTTTAGATTCCAAATCGTTTTATAAATTCCAATTCCGATAGATTCCATTATGTGAACCAAACTCACATAAATAAGTAGATGTCAATAAAGTTGGCCTTTATATTTCGAGAATAATAAAGTTAGTTTATATAAATCAAATATTAAGTTATAATATATATAATCTTAAGTTTTTATAAATACAAAAATTATTTTATTTATTAATATAATATTAAAATATTTTTTAGTATGCGATTGAAGTTGATTTTGCTTTAGTATTTAGGGGTGTTTGGGATTGCTTATTTGAAACAATTTGCTCTTTTCTACAAAAGCACTTATCAACTTATTATAAGTCAGAATGGTTTAACTTTTTCAAAAACTTCTTATTACTGGTTTGACACCGGTATAAGTTGTTTAATCTAAACACTAAAAAATGCTTATTAACGATACCACACTAGAATAAGTCAATAAGTTATTTTTATAAAAAATCCCAAACACCCTTTTAGTAAACTCATTATTTTTAGTGTTTAATTTTTAGTGATTGAATTGGAAATTATTTAAACTACAAGTGTAAACTGTAACAACATGGAACCCGATTACCTTCAACTGCTCTAAGCCCAATTAAAAGAGAGAAAATGGGCCAACAGTTAAAAAGGCCCAAAGACTAAGGCCTAACCCAAATCCATATCAAGCAAACCCTAGGCGGTTGTTATAGTCAGAAACCCTACACCCTCCATTAGATTGTTTGTTGGGGTGGCCTCCGAAGAACACACAGCTCTTGCATCGGCGAAGCCATCAATCAGCAGCAGCCATGGTTAGATTTCACCCAACACATACGCACACAGTTACTCGTCTACATTGCTTCAAGTTTTTTTGATTGATTACCTAAGTTATTTTTGTTGCTCATTATCTCAGGTGAAGTATTCTAAGGAACCAGAAAACCCCACCAAATGTAAGTTTTTGAGTTATGTTCTCTTTTGATTTTCGAAAATTAAACCTACTATTTTCAGATGCGAAGTTGAAGTAGATGTTCAGTCTTTCAATGTTATTAGTCATGTGTAATCGAGATTGTTATGATTATATGTGAGCAAATGATGTGGAAAGTAGAAGCCAAATCAGTACTTTTAAACTAAATGGAGGCTATACAGCTTTGTTTGTGATTTAGAAAGTTTGTATGAATACTGATTAAACTGTGTTTGTATTGATGTGTATATATCAGCTTGCAAAGCCAGGGGATCAGATCTCAGGTGTCATTTCAAGGTATCTTGATGTTTTTGTCGTACATATCTTCATATGTGTCACTCTTCATTAGTTTATCGATTTTAAATCAAGAAGTATCTTGAATATCTTTGATATGACTTGTTAAACCTAGTAATTTATGGCAATCTAATATGAAACTTGTTACAGTTTGAACACGAACAAAATTATTTGTTCTACTTGTGCTTAGCAATTATTTGTTTAAAGATCATTGAATCTGCCTGAAGCTTAGAGTCCTAAAATCTGCGTTGTATGTTATCTTCCGCATTGTGACTTGATGGATGTTTTTTTGAATGGCTTAGAGGGGTTGTCATGCAATCAATTTAACCAACAAGAAAGCCTGTTTTTTTAGCATGTTTTGACCTAGTAGGCTGTAGATTCAATGACCTTTTCTTTAAGAATCACTCTTTCAACTTCACTAATTAACACTGAGCAGACTTGAACCTGAAATTAGATCATTTCAGGGATTGTCTCTCTAAAGCATTTGATTTGGGAATCACTTGTGCTTTGATGTTTTACTTTGTTGTGTAGAGCTATACATACATTTAGACTGTTATCTATTGCCAGGATGCTTGTAAAGGCTTTATGTTTGCTGTGTTGTTTTATAAAAGCTCTGTTTTTTTCTGTTTATAAATTTATTCATTTGTTGACCTACTTATTATTTTCTTTTAGAACACTCGAGAAACTGCCCATGCTATTCGTAAGTTGCCTTTAATTAAGGCCAAAAGATACTTGGAGGATGTTCTGGTTCACAAACAAGCCATTCCATTCACCCGTTTCTGTCGTGGAGTTGGGCGTACTGCACAAGCAAAGAATCGTCATTCCAATGGACAAGGGCGTTGGCCTGCCAAGTCTGCCAAGTTCATCTTGGATCTGCTAAAGAACGCAGAGAGCAACGCAGAAGTAAGAACCATAGGCCATAACTATGCATATTTCATTGTATTATTTTCTTCAAATTCTAGTCTAGCAAGTTTATGTTTTTTTCTGAACTATTATAGGTCAAAGGGTTGGATGTGGATGCTCTTCACATCTCTCACATCCAGGTGAACCAAGCTCAGAAACAGAGACGTCGCACATACCGTGCTCATGGAAGAATCAACCGTGAGTCTTTTCACCCTTATTCTTGACCTAGCTTATGCTTATTCACTTGATATGTCCTTTCCTTTTTCTCTCAATGGTTGTGCTGGGGCAGGTTCAAGTGTAGACCACAAATATTTTGAGAGCCTGTGAACCAAGGTTCTCAAAATATTTACGTCTTTCATTTGAACCTTTCCCAATTAGGCTTCTATACAAGTACGATTAACTGAAGATGCATGAAGCTATTCTCTATCCAACCCTTGTGCATCGGGTTTTTAGTTGATTTTGTTTATTTTGGTTGAATTTGAAACGCCTGTTTCTTATGCACAGCTTATATGTCCTCTCCCTGTCATATTGAACTTACCTTGTCTGAGAAAGAAGAGCCTGTTAAAAAGGAGGTCAGTTATTTAATTAGATTATCGTATTTGCTGATAGAACGAAATGCTGAATGCTTGTTTATAGGTTTTCTTAGCCAACTCTGAACCATTTGTATTTGTTGCAGCCTGAGACTCAGTTGGCTCCTAGAACCAAGAAGAATCAATCTTAAATCTGAGAGACTTGGAGTCATAGTTTGCTGGTAGAAAGAATTCTGGTTTTGTTTTGATTTGTAATCTCAAAAACTTGTTTCCATTTCCAAAGATTGTTATCCAATGCCCTTATATGAGATATGATCATGCTTCATGAAGTTAAAATATTTAATGAGACGTTTCTTTCAAGGCTGATTTCATGACTGATTTTGCCAATTGCAGCTATAACATAACTGTGTTTGCTGTTGATCTTCTATGCACAGTTTCATGTAGATATGCATGGAGGATCTTTGATTTTGCCTTTTCTTTCTTTTTTACATTTTTAATGCTTGGATTCAACTTAATAAAATTGAAATAGCACTTTTGTATTGTCTTTATATGATCTTGATGCACCAAAGCTTCTTAAGATAGACCTAGGTTATGAAAATCTGGGGTATTTGGATCTAGGGAGAGTGCATTCGGCAGGTCGGGTGGGATATTTAAAAGCCTGATTCGATTTTGTATATGGAAATCAAATCCCAATTTTTGGATTTCAGATTTTGGATGGCTTCATGTTGAGGTTGGTCGGGTTTGGGTTTAGTTATAATGCAATATATATATATATATATATATATATATATATATATATATATCCAATCGATTTGGACAATGAATTCAATCAATTTAGAGGGTTGATAAATCGATAGTGTACTTAGAAATTTGAAAAAAAAAACACGACCTGACTAAGATTTTTAGAAATTTTAAAAGATAATTAGATAAATATGTATATTTATATAGTATTTAAAATATGTGTATATATTTTGGGTTTTCGGACGAATCGGTTGGTCAAGAATCAAACCCAATCCGAATCCAAATTTTTCCCCCAAAAGTCGGTTTTTGGATTTTGGGATCTTGGGGTATTCGGGTTTTACATAAATATCTTATATTCGTTCGAGTTTGGGTTCAGCTTTCAAATAATTCGGGTTTTGCACATCCCTATTTGATCATTGGGGTGCACCAAAACTTCTTAAGCTGGAATCTAGGTTGAAAACTTGTGCGTTTGGATTTTCCTGGTGCACCGAAACTTCTTTTTGATGAATTTGATATACATTTCCTGGTGCACTCGACAACCGTTTGGTGCATTAAGCGAACTTGTGCATGCAAGCTTTTCTTTCCTTCAAATTTCAAAGTGTTATTTTTCACAAGAATGTGATTACATCTAGGGCTGTAAATGAATCGAACATAAACAAATGAACGAATATGAACAAATTTTTTTGTTGGTTTAGTTAAATGAACGAACATGAACAAGAGTCTCATTCGTTCATTTATGTTCATGAACGTTCGTTTATGTTCGTTTATATATTAAATTTAACATATAATCTTTTATTTATTTACTTTGAATTGAAATAATATTTATTGATGTTCGTTTAGCATGTTAAATAATGAACATAAACGAACACGAACACACCTGATTACTAAACGAACGAACACGAACACAAAGATTTTCATTCGTTTACCGTTCGTATTCGTTCGTTTATTCTGTTAAGTTAAACGAACGAACATGAACAAGCCTTTATTCGTGTTCGTTCGGTTCGTTTACGGCCCTAATTATATCCCCCACACAAAGGTTGCTTTAGAGATGAATCTCAACAAGTATGGCAGAGGTTGCTTTTATCTTGATTCTAATTGTCTAAATCTCACAACACGCAATAATTATGGAATTCCTTTTTATGACAACATGTTATAAATACGAACAATACCAATGCCAAAATACAACCTCAATTGATTATTATTTTTAAAAACCCTTTAAATTTTTATTCTTATTGTTTACAAGAACTGTAAAATAGAAATATTATAAAAACTGAAAAGATTTTTTTATGTACTATTGATGTATATTTATGGTAACATAAAAATGGAATGTAAGATGGTGTTTAGTTTCTAATAATTAGTATAAATGATTATAATAGATTTGGATAAAAATCATCTCTTCCCAATTTGAGGGAATAGCATCTTTCTTTTAAGTCTACCTCTCACCACTCTCACACATCACCGGCTATCCCGTCCCCATGGCAGCACCATGACCAACGGCCGTCGGATATAGAACCTCATCTTTGCCCAGGCTAACTGGGCCTTATTCAGGGAAACGAACCAAACGCCCCGTTAACGTTGTAACAGTTGTATCTTTGAAAAAATTACAAGTTCTATTAGGAAAAAAACACCTAAATACTCAATATATTATAGATAAGGTACAACAACCTGTATGTGTCTATTGGTTGAAACATGATCTAGATACCAATGTTTTGAACTAAATGTGTATGATTACAAATCTGACTTGACTTCAATCAGTCCATTTCTATTTCATTCTAGTCATCAATCAAGAAGTCCAAGCCAAAAATGTCATTCACATTTGACATGATACAATCAAAGTAAAACTTGAGAAAAGATGGAAATTTCAGAGCCAAATTTTCAAAGGATAAGGCAAAATACAGATCAAGATCCCATAAAGTGTCCAGTAAATTCAAGGTTGCACAGCTTCAAGCAGTTTCTCATATACCTGTCTGGCTGACAGATCTTCCACCTGCTCCACAATGTATGAATAAATTCAGATCCACCAGAGATTTCAAAAGCCACATATCAATTTAGAAGACACAGAATCCTACTAATTTACCACAAAGGGTCCGAAGTTCACTTGAGGCATTAGATCTAGCTTGAATAAATTGACAATTTCTTTAATTTGACTGAATTGTTTTGCTGAATCCCAGGAGTAATTACGTCAAGGAATTGTCGTCTTGCATCGATTCCGAGTTCCTAAGAACTGAATCAACAAACTACATTCGATACTGTCTAACCAAGAAGTTGCTATCTGTTTATTCATATAGTTGCCTCCCAGAGTCCAAATACTGTTTGGGGATTCTATCTGGTTCTAAAGCATGTTTTATTCTTGTTAGGCGTATTAGTTACGTTGCAGGATTTTATTTGGTTCTGTTTCTTTTGGAAACCTAGACTAATTGGTACTCTGATTGCATTGAGTTTCGTTACAGTTGTGTGCTAACAATCCTAGAAGGATCTTGCCAAAAACATACTTTTATAGCATGAGTCTGTAGTTCAAAATGAAAACATTAAGAGAGAAGATAAGAAAAGAGAAGAAAAAGGATATGCATTATGATTTGGTTATAACAGTTGTTTCAACTCACCACAAGGAGCTTAGACTTGCTGTTCCACCCTCTTTGAAGGGTCATCTGGCTTAGTCTCAAACCTAATACCTAGAGTAAATACAAAATGAAGTTGGCTAAACCACTCAGAACTCAAAAGAACATTTTGTTTTGAGGAGAAGAAAAGAGAGGAACAGACCTTGCCCATAAATTCTAAAAGTTCATTGTTAGCTTCCCCACGTGCAGCAGGTGCAGCTACAGTGACTCTAACATCATCAGCATTTACTCCTGAAAAGTTTAGGATGCAAAGGTACGTGTCAGAGACAACATGTAAAACAACCTAAGCTAGCAGATGAAAGAAGATTTACTTGTAATTGCTGAGCGTTGTGCACGGTCTTCCACTTCAATCGCCACTTGAACAAGCCCTCCTTCTAACTGGGAAATGCATGGTGGTACAGGAGCATCCTGTAGCATAAAAACCAAACAAAAATTTTATAAACCCTTTCTAGTGCATTTAGACAGGCTTTATTAAAACTTCTAGCAAGTTCCACTTCCATAAAGATTACCATTTATAGAACTAGAAGGAATATGTGATCCAGAAAGAAAGAAAAGAACAAAAAATAGTGTCCATAAAAAGATGAGCAGCAATCTTATGAGTTCAGTCACTTGTGCAGATAAAATGCTTATTAGGATTTCCACCCTAGTGGGTGATGCTACTTCTCATCAACAGAGATGGTGAGAGTTTGTGAGCTCAATTGCAAAGCCATAGATATATGGAAAGCTACAACAGTTTGTGGCAAGTACCTGGGGGTTAGTTTCTGCAGCAACTGTACTAAGTGCTCCATCAACAACATATATGAAAGAGGCAGATTCCAAGTCTTCTTCAGAGCGGTAGCAAACAAAGAGTCCACAACCCATGCAGTTCATGCGAAACTGCTTTTCTAATTTCCCTTCACCCCTACAATGAAATTCCATTGGTTGTTAAAATAAGGCATACTTGTTCTCTGGAAAGTATTCATGAGATGTACAAATAAGCAAACATTTTCCCAAGTATCAAATAAGTGTAAAAAGCTTACCGCTTTAGGAGAATTTTTCCTGCCTCATTTATGTTCAACCTTGTAAGATGCTTTTTCTTATCCAAAACATATGCTTTGTCCGTTTTTCTTTTGGGCATTTTCTGCAATTGTGTATCTACAATCATACTTTAGTACGGGAAAAACTGTACACAGTAATGGTTAATGCAGAAAACTGATACAAAGCTCATATTGCATTAGAAAGATTTCACTCAGAATTAGGTCTAAAAGGGACAACAACAATGAGTTGGAATACTAGATGATAAGGATCAGGCATGAGAAATCAATGCATATATAGCATCGATGAGAATTGAAGGTTTTATACAGCTATTTCATCTAATGTCAATGATTTTAAGGCTAGCCTATGACTGCGTAATCCAGAGTTCCGCATCTTGGCAATCCTTTAGTCTACCACTTGGGATGATTATTTTTAAAGTTTAATATAGAGGCGTAAACCATGGAACACCTACTCAAAATTATCCATGAGGACCATGACAAAACTGTACCATAAAAAATGGGCTTTTAAGATTTGCTTTTTGGGTGCTTGCGGCACAAAAAAACATATGTCAAAATACTCTTCAACATAAATCAAAATGAAATGGTAAGAGACCACCAAAAAGCCTTCTGTAATGTAAGTTGCATGCATGATTGGTAAGAGCATGGTATAATTTCTCATACAACATCGAGCAGATTGGGCGTTAGGAAACTGCACTCGATATCATCATAAAGCCCAATTTAGTTGGAAAAACATCCCAACCATGGGAGAATGTTTAAAGACCACCAAAAAGCCTTCTGTGATACAAGTTGTATGCATGAGCCTTCTGTAATATAAGTTGGAGGCACGATGGTCTAGACTCTAGAACCAATAATTTGACAACAAAGCTAGAACAAGAAAAGCCACTGCAATTCGACCTTTCCCGTAAAACGTGTGAGGAAAAGAAACTATTTCTGGTTGACTTCAAGTTAATTAGGGTTTCATTTCCGCATGCTCTAGTTTTCATGAAATTTACAATCTCTACAAATTAATTTGGGGGAACTTTAAAATGTGTTATATAGAATAATATATAATCACAAACTAAGATACAAAGAAAATCCTATAAAAGAAAGAGAGAGGTTCACCGGTAATGAGAACGTGAGAACTACAATGCTTGCAGTAATAGACGAAGAGATCGGAATCCGGACCATCTGGTGCAGCATCCTCGCTCGAGTAGGTGTGAGTCGTCCTCTTCGGCATGCTTTTGCTTCCTTATCGATCACTCTGGCACACCGTCTCCGGTGAAGTTCCGATATGTAGCCGAGAAAGGCAGAAACCACCACTTGCAAGGATTAGCAGCGACTTCATAAAGCATCATCCTCTTTATTCTGTCAGTGCGTAAACCTAAGGATTACGTTTTTACCCCTTTGACTATTAGTAATTTTACAACTTTGGTCCCTTCAAATTTTACACTTACATTTAAGGGTACAAACTAATCGGCTATGACCTAAATTAAGAGGTTATTTACTAAATATTTATCGGGTAAGCATTTAATGACATCACTTATCTTATCGATTGAGTATGATTAGAACCAAGACGGTAACAGACGTAATAAAAACCAAGAGTCTTATCCCGGTAAGCGAGAAAAAAGACTCTTATCGGGTCGAAGACACTTACCAACAACCTATTTTGATGTCTAAGAATGTTACATGATAAGATAAGTGACTGTAATTTATCTTGCTAAGAAGTGCTTATCCAGTAAGTGCTTGGTAAACAGCCCACTAGTTTATCTACGAAAATGTGAGCTTGCATCCAGCCTAGCTACGTTTATGCTTTTAGTTGATGGACCCTTTTGCAATGATGCTAACGAGCCACCAAACATTATGTTAAATTGGATTATTAACATTTTTCCTTTTCAGCTAAATCAAACAAAACTGACTAAATACATAACATGTGAAGTAGGGTCTGAAAAAGGTGAAATATACGCATACCTGACCTCTATCACAAAAGATTAGATCGATTATTTCCGTGAAACTCGTTGATTGGGTAAGAGTGTAAGCAAGCAGTTAGCAAGAATAAATACTAGCATGAGGTGTGCGACTTATGAGAAATATGGAAGTGAAAGTAACGTTATGGTACAATTAAAGCATAAGAAAAGACAGTGTAAACAACAAAAAGCAAAACCCACATCGTTCATGTTCTCGAAAATGTCTAAGGATGCCAAGTCTGGCTTCAAATGTTCTTTCTCGGCCTACCTCTCGACCAACACTCTTTCCACTCTCCTCACTAGAGTCATAAGCAGTCTCCTACTTAGGAGTCGAAACCAACGCACTTTATAGACCTTATTTGGGATTCTATATAACATGATCCTGCCACATGTCCACTAAATATTGATTTCTTACAAATTTTACAGTTCATGAATAAATAAAGAGGTTGCATTCGACCTGATTGCTTTCAATCAAGATCTCCAACGAGACATTCGTTCACGATTACGCCGACTTGAGCAACAAAAACATTATATTTGTGCAATTATTTAAGAATTATATTTTGATCGCTTTATGTGAAGCTGTAGTCCCTTTAAATTTTATAATTGCATTTAAGGGTATAAGTGGATCAACATGAACAGAAAGTCGTTCACTCACCACTTATCAGATAAATGTTATCGCAAGAGTTACCACACTCACTTTATTGTACAATATTAGCGGCCATTAAAACGGATTGATGGTAAGCGTTTATCATCCGATAAGTTTTTTTTTTTAACCAAAGGCCTTTAGCCTAGCGGTATCGTAGCATTGGCCTTCTAGAAGGTCAGTGATTCAAACATCATCATAGATGAGGAGGGTGTGTGAGTTTATTTATTGCATTTGCCGTATATAAATATTATATACTTCAAAAAAAAAAAGTGTTTAACGGGTAAGAGTCACCACCCTCACTTACCGTGTAAGATTCTTGATCTTTATCTTCTCTTTTACCGGGTGATATTCTTGGTCCAATCAATGCTCACCGGTAAAGTAATTGACCCGATAAAACGCTTACCCAATAAATGTTTGATAAGCGGTCCTTTAGTATTGTCTTTTACCAAGTAAATAATGTTTAGCTTCTTCGTTATTTACTAATTCCTTCTTAATAAAATAATGAGACCGTTTACTCAGGCATTTATCCAGTAAGCCCTTATCGATAAAAGTAACATTCTAACCTATATTACCAGGTAAAACTGTAATCTATCAAAACAGTATCATATACAACAATTTACCAAGTAAAAATTGTCACCCTTATTCACTAGACAAGAATCTCCATTCCTATCATCGCAATCATGTTCATGTGGTAAGATAATGAACTGGTAACCATTTATCAATCACCACTCCTGTATTTTTATATGGTCAATCACTTGCCTCTTGGCCAATTTGTAATTTTTATAATCTGCTGTTTCTCAATAATTTTGATCCAGGACGTTACCAACCAGAGCATTTAACATATTGCCATTTAGTATGTGTAAGAAAACAAGTTTTGAGTTCAAATTAACATTACAAAATGCTTTAATTTTAGTTTCTCAGATCAAGATCTTAGCTTGAGTTGACTTCTCTGCAAGGTCAACAACTAGGACTTTTTTTATTAACCCGGCGAGCCGACTAATCTCAAGGCAACCACCTGTTTTGCAGGTGGCCTGGAGACACCGCATTTGAACCTCCATCGCCACAAGGGGATTCTTATTTCTCCTTGGATTTAAACCTGGAACCTCCAGGTACTTTTGACCTTTGGAGCCAAGCTCAAACCAATCAAGCACCACCGTTGTGTTAACAGGTTGGATTTTCTAACTGATTGCAGTTGATTTTAGTATAATTTATGGTTTGTGTCAAATGTTGGAAAAAAGAGATCTTGCAAAACCATTCTAGATATAAGAAAAGTTCTCGAAAATAATTCCAGAGTCAAAACGATCAAAACTTAAACAATGACACTGATAAATAGGTTTCCATCGCGGGAGAGGGAGATGATACTAAATTATAGGCCATGATACCGTCCAGCATCATCATAGCAGCAATCCACACATGAACTCTGCAATTGCAACAGCGGTTATCCGTCAATAAAAGAAGAAACATGTGAATCGTGGTAATCTGAAAAAAAGATGCATAGAAAGATTGTGATGAACTTACAGATCTTGTTGAAGGCGACAATATCACAGCTCTGGACATACTCGTTAATTGGTTCCTCTGTGAGCCTTTCTTCAATGAGTGTATCGACAGACACCAAGTCATCGACAATGGTCATCATGATCTGGAGCTTCTTGATTCCATACCCAACTGGTACCAACTTTGCTGCAACATCAAATGATTATTTCAGTCATCGGAAATGGTATTTCAAAACAATGGTCATCATCATGGAAGTAGGATCTTGGGAACGTAAACCATTAATAGACTTATTTTCACTACCTAGAACTAGAAAGGGTGATGTACCCCCTCCGTCCCAAAACAATGTTCACAATCAAAAAGAGAGTTTGATGTAATTTTCACATTTTTCAAATAAACCCAATGACAACTTTACCGTTAATAGTAGGGGTACAAAATTTCTCCATCTCATAACTAAATTAGAATTGGAAAGTATCCGTTTCTTTTTTGAAAATGAACACTTACTTTGAAACAAATTGAAACAGGAATGTTGAAAAAAGATTATGGATGGCGGGAGTAGAATGTAGCAATAAAATTGGTTTATTAAAAAGAGAGAAAAACATACATGCGCCCCAAAGCAAGCCATCCAAATGAACACTTCTGACAGCCTCCTCAAGCTTTTTCATGTCGGTCTCATCATCCCAAGGCTTTACATCCAATAGGACTGAAGACTTGCCGGCTGATAATATAACAAGCAAAAAAGCAAACAAAAACAATGGTGGTAAACAACCAGAAATAATATTCAGGTATATATCGAAAAGTGCAGACTGAGTCACCCATGTTATTGGTAAAGACCAGCCTCCCAGAAGGGTAAGGTTTCAAAGCTCAGCAAAGGTGAGAACGTAATATAAATCCCACGCTAAAAAAACAATGCATTATCAGCTGCGTCATAATAGTTAGAATGAAATGAGAACAAACTCACATTCTTTCTTCTTTCCAGATGCCTTCACTGCAGCTGCACGATCTTCAGCAGCCTTCTTTTCCTCTTCAGTCTCCTCACCAAAAAGATCCACATCACTATCATCATCCTCATCAGCTGCAGCCTGAAGAATACATGTGAAAGTGTATTTTGGGTTAGCAAATTAGTGCCCAAAAGATAATAAAGAGTATATTCTAAAGATAAAGAAGCCAACACCCCAGGTCAACAATCCATCAAACCACCAGGGTTGCTGGTGAACAGCAAAACATTCAAACAATTACACTGATCTTACCTTTGTCTCAGCAACAGGAGGAGTTGCAATAGCCTCTTCTGGGAAAGAAGCAGACCCCTCTACAGTAACGCCACTTCCTTCAGCAGAGACACCACTGGAAGAAGCAAAATCATTCAGAATCACAAGTCTCCAAGAATAATACTAAAGAATATGGACCAATTCACAACTCATAAACCCAACTGAACCAAAGTAGTGGGAAAAGATTCCCAATGAAGGGTAAAAACAACTAATGGTCAAGATTCAAAAACTTACGAAATTCTCAGAAGGGACTCAATATGGTTGAACCATCGAGATACATTCACATATTGGGGTGATGGAGATTTTGTGAAAGCAGCATGAACGGTGAGATCATCTTTTGAAGCTTGGTACCTGAGAAAATAAACCCTGTAAGTACCCTACAGCATGATAATCATTTAGAATCAGATATATTTTAAAGAGCAATATTAACTCACCCAGTGATGTAACTGCGAGACAAAAGGTACTCATCAAGCTTCTTGAGACCAGCTTCCGAACCAACATAGAATGTAGGTGCCATTTATAAATGATCAAGTACTCTCTTCTGCAAGTTATTTGTAAGGTAAACATGAGCAAATATGGATCATATCATATCATTATTTTGCTTCTAATCAGCCAACATAATTAATTCCATGATTAATATTTGTATCTAATTCTAGTCTATATCTGCAATTCTATACCAAATTCATTACTTTATTCTATTCTTCCTCATGCTTTATACATTTTAGAAAAAAAAAATACAGATTCATAACCCTAGAACTTGTATTTTGGCATAATCTCGTTAACCCTTAATTAAACGAACTCAGATCTTAACACCAAGTTGAAAAATCCAAAATTGCCGAATCAGGATGCAATCGCGGCACCGCATTACTTGAAATTGCATCTAACTACCGATTATGAAACCATTTCTCGAAACCCTAGTCATCACCAGAGCACAATACACCTATCTACACTAACTGAATATAACATCATGAGGAACATACAGATCTGTAAAGTGCAAATAAAGCACAAAAGAGAAAAAGAACCCCACTACACTCGGGAGTAACTAAACAACAAGTAACCAAGAAACAATACAAGTCTACTCACATAGTTTCATCAGATTGAGAAATCAATGAATCAATTAACCTGTAAACACAAAAGAAGAACCCTAGAAGGCATACCTGCTTCAAGTAAGAATTCCGGTGGCTGCCTCGTGAGTAAGTTCGGTAGTCGGCTGTGTCCAAGTGAAACCCTACTCCAATTTATAAAAAGATGAACAGGGGTATAAATGTCATGTTTGTAGATACTGGAATTTGCGAATTACCATTAAGCCCCTCATATTTATATCGCCAGAAAGAATATCACTAATTTTCATTAAACCATAAATTTGGTCCCTATAGTTTGATGAAAATAACACTTTTCGTCTATTTAATTTTAAAATTATAAAATTACTATCGTAGTTTATGAAAACGTTTGTATTGACTTCTTCCTTAAATAGTTGTTCAAAAAATTTGTTAAAAAACATTTTTGTCTTTTTATTGATTATTTTGTCTTTTATCCAATCAAAAATCATATAACAAAAATCATAAAATCTATTTTGATTGGGTAAAAGATAAAATAAATCGATAAAATGATGAAAATGTCCCTCATTTAACGGAATTTTTTAGTGGTTGTTAAAGGGAGGGGACTTTTTGCAGATTATGATCATCATTTTGTAATTTAAAAACTATAGGGATGAAAGGTGTTATTTTGAACAACTTGAAGGGACCAAATTTGTAGTTTACTCTTGATATTTAAACTAGTTTATACTACATTGTAAAGCATTTGCCAAAAAGACTCTTAAAAACTATTTTTTATAATTGAATTATTGTTTATTGATGCATATCACTTAAATTCAAGATTACAAGTAAGAGGTTGTTTGTTACCTCTTAATAGTTCCATTAATAGTCAACATCTTAATTGTTAAGAGATGAATCTTATTTGACAAGAAAAAATCTGTCTCTTAATGGTTTCAAAACCTTCTAAATGATTTTGTATCCTAGATCTCTCTTAACCATTAAGAGCCCTAATTTCATTATACATAATTACCAAATAATACTTATGGTTTTCATTTAGTGAAAAGTTTGAAAGTGGACCTGAACTTTGATAAATCTAAAAATCATACTTATGGTTTTCATTTTGTTCTGAAAGTGCTCCCTATTTGTTAACTTTGTTTATTTTCTTCATTAGTGTGAGGGGAATTTCAGTCCTTTTCTCTTTAAAAAATAACATAAGATTGTATCTCGCATTTGCTTTAAAAAAACAAATTTTAGATTGAAAGAAATTTTTTATAATATAAATAGAATAAAAAATATAAAATAAAATATTGTGTTATTTATAAAAGATAATCAAATATTTTGACTAAAAGACTGAAATACTCCTTGATTTGACAGATAAAATAAACAGAATTAATGACTAGAGACCAATTTTAGAACAAAATGAAAACCATAAAGATGATTCCTAGACTTATCAAAATTGAGGTATTACTTTTAAACTTTTGACCAGGGTCGGTCCAGTGGTTTTGGATGTACTGGGCGGAGAGCCAAAAAGATGTTCCTACTCCGATGAACCAAGAACTCAAGAAGACACGAATTTTAAAGGGGTTTAGAACTCAGTCAAGTTAGGCAGCTCATCCTCATGCCGATTATTATTGGAAAAAATGTTACAACGAGGGGACATAAACCAAACCCCGAAAAAAAAAAACAAATATAAGATTATATGTTCATCTAAAACGGCGTCTTTGTGAAGCATATTTAATCAAACTAAATTGTTCAAACTTCAAACAACCAAGCAGACAAGCAATCACTAAATATCAAATATGCAATATTGAAATGGAGAACTAGAAGGAAAACACCTAAGTGGCTGAGTCCTGTGGATTGAAGTGGATGTGAATCCTTGACGAATTTGTAATCACATCCCAAAAACTTTATTAGTAGATGTTATAATTGTACCTAAAGTCCTAAACTATTTACGCTTCACATACTACAGTTCACACTTGTTTGAGTTGTTTCACTGTTTCTGAAAAATTCCTTCTATGATCTACCATCTAGTCGAGGATCATTCAGTATCACCAAATAAAAATTGAAAACCAAACCCTAAAAATTGAAATTAAGCATCATAAATCACCAAATAAAACCCTAATTTTGATGAAAGCATTACCGTGAATCTTATGAGTGAAGGACGGAGTCTGGAGATTATCCACACTGAAACGGTATTTGTGAAACCCAGGAACAGAAAGCCCGTGTGATATTTTTCACAGATTAGAGGAGGGCAGGAACCAGGAGGCGTCAGGCGGAAGAGGACGGGGTCTGGAGAATGGAGATTAGCCATCGGCGGCTGACCCGATTAGACGATTGATGTCCATTAGAGGGGGAAGAGCCGAGCGATCGAGGCGAGGACTGGACAGGAGTCTGGAACCGAGCGAGGAGCCAAGGAAGTGTGGAACCGAGCGAGGAGCCGAGGAGGTCTAGTATGTCATAGAGGGCTTCGACCTAAATGATGCCCCTTGGGATGATGCTGCCCTGGGCGACGACCCACGTGGCCATGGCCAAGGCAGGCCCTGCTTTTGACTATACCTCAAGGACCAAAATTAAAGTTTACTCGGTAAAATATTCGATAAAATAAAGAGTAAATTATGGATTTGGTCTCGGTGGTATGTTGATTTTTACGAAAATGGTCCCTAGACTTCATGTATTATAGATTTGGTCCTTCTGGTATGCACTTTCTCTTGGATTTGGTTCCTAAAACAAACGACCGTCTATCAAATATGTTAAAATTGAGGGCAAAATGGTCTTTTTGCCTTTTCCTATACTTTAACATTTTTTTAAAATTTAAATCAAGGGCCAAAATGTATATTTTGAAACTCGAAGGGCCAAAAATAATATATAATATAATATTGAGATTTTTAGGTATATAACTTTAAATAAGATTTTAATTAAATCCATGACATTCTCAGGAGTATAAATTCACTTGTTCTTATATAGGCCAGTAAGTTATCAATTTAATTAAAAACTCTTATATATGTGTGTTGAAGAAGTTCCCATTGAGGTGGGGCGTACATAAGAGCGGAACCTAGATAGAACACGTATATATAAACACACACACATATATATATATATACACACACATCGTCACAATACCTTTCGGTTCCAACCCTCGCCACGCTAGATCAACCTCCATCCCTCTCCACCTTCCCTTTTTCCCACCACCACACACACATTCACAAATACACCTATACCTTTCGCGCCAAGAAATTGCGCATAGATTCTTAGCACACACATCAAAGCAATGGTTGGGGATTGGAATCATCGATCAGATCAGTGGAAGAAGAGGGTTGGAGGAGGGTTATGGTCCCTAACATTAACATAAACCACCCTGAAACCATGTGGTGGGTTTGTGTTGAGGAGTGTGGTAGACTAAATCAACTAGGTATCATAGAGAAGATGGAGGGAGGAGAGGGAGAAGGAGGAGGGTGTTCATCAGACTGATGATTGTTGTCGGGAAGAAGGGGGGAGACGATGGAGTTCTTTGTGTCGAAGGCGTCCAATTGTGTCAAAGGTGGTGTTTGTATGTGAACGCCGGTAGGTTTACTGGTTCATGTCGTCGTAGATGAGAGAAGAGGAGAGAGAGTATTTTCTTTTTTAGAATTTATATCAACCAAGTGGAATCATTTGAGTGGTGGTTAAGAAGTATAATAAGATAAAATGAAAAAAATAATAATGTTAAGATGAAGATAACTATAAAAAGACAAAAGTACCCTTAACAAAAGAAATGGATGGCCGTTTGGTGTAGGTACCAAATCCAATAGAAATTGTATACCACAGGGACCAAATCCTTAATAAACGAAGTATAGGGACGATTTTAATAAAAATCAGCATACCATAGGAACCAAATCCATAGTTTACTCAAAGAAAAATATTTTATTTTTTTAATTTGATATTTATTTTAACGTATGCATATATTTTCCAATTTTTAAACCAAACTTTTGATCACGAATACATATTCATGTGTGTCGATATCTATACTATATTATAAAGTATTTGATAAAACTCTCAAAACTCATTTTTTATGCACAAAGTACTATTTATTGATGCACGTTACTTAAAATTCAATATTACAAGTAATTATATATAAGTACAACTTATTAAAGTTCTATGTTTGAATTCGTATAACTGCAGATAAACATAATCAAATATAAGATAAACATCTAAATTTAAATATAAAAAATCTAAAATATAATAAGGATAATCATTGAATTCTAATATACTACTCTAATTATTATTATTATTTTTATAAAAAAATATTATTAAACTAAAAATAAATTAGTTCGTTATTATTCCTAAATTTAAAATAGAACGAGAACTTTTAAATAGTTAATTTGACACTAATTTCGATATATATTTTTTCAAAATTTTATGATATTTTAAAATTTATATTTTATTCAAAATAAAAAATGTTATTGTTTTTTCAAAACCGCATAAGACCGTATTATAACATCGACGGAGACAAATAATAAAACAAAACACTAAAATCAAGATATATCTCGTTGCATTACGTGGATACTTTTCTAGTTCATAATAATATATTTACCATATTATAAATATTTACTGCGTGTTTTTAGAACCTCTTAAATTTAAAGATACATCAACTAACAAGCAATGCTTAAATTGTAAGATATGATCCCTGCAAATTCCCAAAACCATTCACTGATTCACTTCAGTTCAAAGTAAACAGCATCTAAGGTATCAATCAAAGGAGGTCTCTAAAATGAGACTTTTTCCTACAAGATTATCATTTCATAGGATATATCAAAAACGATTACTCGACCCCACCGGCTAATCGCTATTTGAACGAATCAAGAGTTCTGCAAAACTCATCCAGTCCTTCATAACTAAACCAGTCTTTCTTCATCTACAAACACATCGAGACATAAGAGAAACAAAACCAAAACGAAAATTAATCACTCAAAAAGATGCACAATTGGTTTAAAAAATGCCCATCGAAGCCCGATTGGTTTGAGCTTGGCTCCAAAGGTCAAAAGTACCAGGAGGTCTCAGGTTCAAATCCAAGGAGAAATAAAAATCCCCTTGTGGCCACAGAGATTCAAATGTGGTAACTCTGGGCTATCTGCAAAGCAGGTGGTCTCCCTGGGATTAGTCAGCTCGCATAGTGGGTTGGATATCCAGGTTAATGGAAAAAAAAATGCCCATCGAAGCCCGCTCAACCTTTTGGGATAGAGGGCATATCTACATACATCTCCAGACCCTAGTTTCGGATGAGATATACTGGGACCGTATGGTTCACAAGCGGACCTACATAAGAGCATAAGTGGCACAGGCCACCGCTACATGGTTCGGTGGTAATGGGAAAAAAATACGTTTTCGAAGAGTGACACACTGACACTATACTGTTTAGTTGGGTGTCCTTATATTTTTTGATACTAAAGTGTTGGCACAAGTCTTTTAAGAGCGGAGTTGGTAAATGTTGTTGTCTTTGTAAAAAAGGGCCGAGTTAGTCCCAATTTTGTCAAATTTCTTAGTTTCAGCTTTATACCTTTTGTGTTTTTAAAAAACTTTGAACCCAAGGCTCGAACATGGGTTCTTCTTGTGCAAAGACGGGAAACAACCAACAAATCTATACTAATTTTGTGAAAATTTATGGATTTTTTCTTATAGTCAAATTGTGTAAACTTACGAAATATGGGTATCCATCGGATATGCTGAAACTCTCGGGAGCATTCTCAACAAATAGTTTTATATAGTAAAGAACAAAAATTCCACATCCACGGTTGTCTCTCTGCTGCGGAACCTAAAAATCGTTTGTTTGAGCATGCATAAGATAGTTATTATGCGCTCAATATATTACCAAGAAATGCTAGTTACCTTGGGAACCAAAAAGGGAATTTTACGCAACTGACTTGTCTCCTCTTTCCTCTCGAGATTCCTGTAGATGTCGAGAACAAATCTGCCAAAGGCAAAAATGATACGTAAAACGTGATTAAAATCTTTAAGTAATAGAGTCTCAAAAACATAAGAGGTAAATGACTATAATTTGTCCATTACTTTCTTATTACAGGTTCCACTTGCTTGGAGTGATCAGCCATTTCCAGTGAATCCAGCAACAAGATGCATGGAGTTTTGAGTTTTGATCCTAAACTTTCACCAAAGTGACAGAATATCAAGAGACTCCAATGACCCCTGCCGAAAATTACATCTCCAGATCACCACATGCCAACAAAAGATATATACGCGTAACACTACCGAATTAAGAATACCCACCACTGAACAATGGGAAAAACCACATATTTTCTAGAAAATACATCCTTCTTCTTGATCCAATTTAACACCTTTTCTTTGTTGGAGTTCTCCGAGTACAGAGTATACCATAATGGATCAAGATGCGCGAATGAACTCTTTTTATCTTCCGGAAAGCTAAGCCATAACTTCCTACATGATTTAAAAAATTGTATTCATCACAAAACAAAAGGCTAAAGACAGCATGTTCTTTTCGGGTGCGTTTGGTACGCTAGACGGTACATTATAGAACAAAAACTTGTTGTCCTTTTGTGTGACTGGGACTGGAAAGGACTGAGAGGGACAAAAATGCATTTATTTCTGTCCCAACAAAATAGGTGGAACGAATCAGGGAGATGTGACAAGTTTGGTAGATTTACTAACTACCCTTATCAAATTAAAACCCTAAAACCTTCCACAACTCTTTCACCCGACCAACTCACTTACTCCCGTCCAGTCCAGTCCAGTCCAGCCCAATTCCGTTATCTTATCAAACGCATCCTTCTATTTGGAGAAATAAAAGGTTTAGCTCACTCCAAGTAACTGTAGACTTCCCCTGAATCCAATTTCCTATCATGGTTTATTGCCTTGTTGCGACTCGCTCTTCTTTGACGAGTGATGATGCATGGACGATAAGAATCTTGATGAGAGTTGTCAAGCCCGTCAGCCACTCTCTTTCTACTTCTTGTCCTTGTACATATAGGTGAATGCATCAAGTAATTCTTCTGCAAGTAATTTGTAAGGTAAATATATGGAATCTAATAAAAATGAGGACCAAGGATTATATCAGCAGATATAGCTTATAATCAGCCAAAAAGATTCCATTCAGCTACACAATAGTTGTAGTTTATTATCAGCCATGTTAAAGATTTCATTGTTTATAGCATACACAACAAGTGATGTTAATGCATTGCTCATGACCTGAGGATGGCACCATGATATTATATAATTCTGTTATTGTTCATATACTCCCTTCCCATTGCCTAACATCAACCCCCCCCCCCCCCCCTTAAAGTAAGACTGCAGCGACTAAGATATAAACCAAACCAAATGAACCACGGAGTGGCATCCAGGGAGGGTGATATACATTGATTATTCAAGGCATAAAACACTCATTTCTTTACCTTTAGGTAGTTCATTTTCTTTTATCCCAAACCTTTGAGTCCTTTTTATTACATTATTTTCCATTTGTTTATACTTGGAGCTAAATTAAGTGATTAACTTGTCTTTGCGCTATTAGAGTAGAAGAAATCTTAACTTGAAAGCATAATGTTATTTGCTGCAGCATTCTAACAGCATTAAACTGTCATTAAGCAGCCTTTTGGGAAGTGTTTATTGATTTAGCTGCCGATTTAGAATGAAGACAAATTTTTGCTAATTTGTTGGTTAAGGCCCACTACAGCAGGAGAAGGGATTTTTGGAGGTTACTTTTGCTTTTTCTTATGATGTGATACTCCCTTTTTAACTTTTGTCTCCCTTTTTGAAACCATGGCTTTCCAAGGCCTTTGTCTTCTTCCTTGGCTCTTTTGTATAAATAAGACCCCTTTGTAGTTCTTAAAATCCATCCCAAAAACACTAAAGAATCAGATCTGAAGTTCTTATGTTTATGCAAGTTAGTTTTTAATTTTCTTTAAATAATGTTCTTCATTATGAGTTGCTGCAGCATTGTTCTTACTTTATTTACTTTTCTTGTCATTTAATTTCCGCTCTTTATATTCAGTCATTTACTTTCCGTCATTTACTTTCCATCATTTATATTTATGTCTTTACTTTTTTGTTCTTTATATTTCTTGTCATTTAATTTATGTAATGAGTAGCTAATTCCAATAGCTTGGGTGTAAGATAAGGGGTGAAATGATAAATCAAAGGAAAGTAGACGTTGTTTCGCAATAACCTCTTTTTCTGCTTCTGCTAGGATTTAAATATCTTTTAAACCATGACCAATGCCCCGGTTGGTCCTATACATGTGGAACTTTAGCTTTATTTGGTCGTGACCAAGAAACCACCGGTTTCGCTAACCTTCATTAGCAGATTCATTTTCTGATCAAACTAGAGGTTACCAAGGAACCATGCATAGCACTGAATAGGGAGCCGCCGAATACACCAACTACGCCTAGCATGTGAAATGGGTGCATAAGAATGTTGTTGGTTTTTGTTGGAATCTTTTTTTTAAGGAATTGGTTGGTCGTCCAGTAACCGGCAACTCCTATCATATGAAATGGGTTCAATGTCCAGTTATGAAACAATGTTTCACTATTTCATTCAAGTTTTTATCAAAAACCAAGTACATTTCTTGACGAGTTGATCACTTTGAAAGTGTTAAAGTGCCATGGTCTTAGAGATAAGCCATTGAATGCACGTCAACTTGAATGATATAAGAGGTAAACTTGAGAAAGTTACCGACAAGGAGACTTGTCATTTATGTCTTTTAAAATTAACTCCCGACAGGTTGGTCACTCTTTAAAAGTGTCAAAGTGCAATAGATTCAGAGATGAACTATCTAGAACACACGCCAACTTTTTTTTTTTTGAAATATATAATATTTATATACGGCAAATAGAACAAATAAACTCACACACCCTCCTCACCAAAGATGAGGTTTGAACCCTTGACCTCCTAGAAGACCAAGGACTCACATACCGCTACGCCAACTTGAATGATATGGGAATCGGTTCGAGAGAGTGATTTTTAACAAAGAAGTTTGTTTATCCATATATTTTGAACACACCATTTTGCCGCTATCCATGGTCCGGATACCACATAGAGATATGGATTGAAAGCTATAATATAGTGCAAAGGTGAAGTCCGAAAGGAATACCTTCAAAATAGACGGTGAAACTAGTTTTGGCTTATTGCATGCTGTAGCATTCCTACAGCATTGTCTGCTGGAATTTGTATTTGCATTTCACCATAAGTCTTACACCCATGCTACCCTTTAATATTCTGTTATTTTATCATTGTTAACTCAGAATCAAACTGAGGTCTTCAATTTCATCATCTGAAGTCTTACACCTAATTATTGGGGTTTTATTGCATATTCATAAGCAGTTTATGTTTGTAGTTCTATACCAATATGCATCTCTCTAAAGTGTAAACTACTTTTTTCCCCTCACCAGGTTGTGTTTTTACACATGGAGATTCCTCGATTACTATTTTTTTGCATAGATAGGAATAGTAGTTTATCTCCTGTAATCCTGTAACTTTAAACTAAGGGGGCGTTTACTAAACACTTGCTTGGTAAGTACTTATCGGATAAATTTCGTCATTGGATGAACATGAAAAGGGTCAAGAATCTTACCGGATAAGAGCGATGAGAATGATGAAGAGTCTTACCCGGTAAGTGAGGATGACGACTCTTACCGAGGTAAGCGCTTACCCACTAAATTGTTGCATTCGATATGCTTTGATATACTACAATCTTACGCATTAAAATAAATCATAGTGTTGACTACTATCGATAAGCACTTACCGGGTAAGCCATTGGGTAAACGGCCCCTAAATGAACTTGGATTTTAACAGCGCCTTGAAGTTCTTGAAACTTCAACTTCTAGCAATTATGCAACTACTTTTCTGAAAATAAAACCATCTCAGAACCCTGATCACAAGCAGAATGCAATGTAGCCATGCGTAATAACCCATTTAAACATCATAATGAACATACGGATATGTCAAGCATAAAGCACACAAAAAAACTAACAAAGAACCCCGATACATTCTGAAATAACAAAATCAGAAGTAATCGCTAAGAAATTCCCTACGCCTTGACAAATCTATGAACATATGCATGCCCGGATTCATGCATCAATCAAGCAAATGACTTTTGAAAGAGAAACGTAAAACCCTAATCCATCGATTTAATAACGCATACCTGAATTCCTCTCACTTGTACTACGCAATGTGGAATGGTCGGTCAGATCGAAGCGGAAACTAGACATTTATATGGCAAAGCCTCAGCCCTTTGGAGCCAAGAAAGATACAAAATTTCACAAGTTACGTCCCTCGTGGATGCGAACAAATGTAAGAATTTAGGCCCGTTCAACAACATCGGGCGTAATCCATTTCGAATGATCAAATTATGTATTGGACTATGGATCCACCCATCCAAATGTAATCCATTCCATTTCAAAAACCAACACAAACAAATCCTGATTTAAGTAAAATAATTGGATCATGGTTGAATAATGGTTGGATGGTAATCAAATGGTTAACTGGATGTGTGATTAGATGTTGGACGATTATGTTCGGTCGACTTTGGTGGGTTCTGGAATGCCATTCAAGAACCGGTTGATCCAAATTAGACGTTGAAAATTTCATTTCGATCAAATCTAATTACAATTGGACAACCAATTATGATCGTCGATTCTAATTAGATATGTTTACTTTTTGCACACCCCTATAAGAATTTATTTGTATTTTCGACATTCAATATTTAATAAGATAAATATTTGATGCACACTTTTAGTTTCCCGATGTTCTTATAAGGTATATCGGGATTAAGAGGTCGTTTACCAAACGTTTACCTGGATAAATGCTTACTAAGTCACATTACATTATCAAATGAATATGACAAAGACAAATTACAATATATCTGACTTTATCAATTGATGTGATTTGGACCGATGATCTTCTCGTCATTAAACAAAAATTCATGGACCATTTGTTTTTGAAGTTCTATGAAATCAACACTTCTCGACAAACATTTCATAGTGATCGTTTCAAGAAATTATCCACAGATGAAGCTAGCTGGTTAGAATTGAAAATTCTAGTCTCTGAAATTTGGACTGTTGTTTCGACTTGTAGGAGCTCTAAGGCTCTAGAATCCGATGATTTTGATTCTCTTGTCATTAGTGTTTTTTTGGCGTATTTATCAAAGGGGAGTATTTGTCGTGCAATTTGTTCCCTTTGGGCCTATGTAGAATAAGTAGAGGATGCAATACTTCTTTCTAGGGATGGTGATTTGTCCCGACTTGGTGGGGAAATGCGGTTCATCCGACTCGAACGAGGATGAGGATTCCCCACTAAACCGGGCCCCGGAACTGGGGATCCGCGGTAGGCTCAAGTCGGGGTTTAGGTTGGGTAGCGTATCCCCCGACCCGCCCCTGTACCCGATATATAATTTAATTAGTTTATTTTATTAATATATATAATATTTAGATTATTTATATTCTAAAATTAGGTTTTTAATTTAAAATTTGATTTTGAGAATTGAGACTCTCCAGACTGCACGAGACCACGACCAGTCAACCGCTTCTTTCACGTAATCATGTGCAGTCTTCACTTCACCAGAACAACAGGGTCGGGGACTGGATCTAGAACGAGAAACTGGGGTTTGGCCGGAAAAAAGGAAACCCAGGGATGAGATGCTAATCCCCGTACCCGTCAGCTTGGAACTAACTAACTCCAAGAAAAGTTTATATCTTTATTTTAAGGCACTTCAAAATAGGTTAGTCGTTCTTCAAAATCTCAACAAATAGATCAATCTCAACTCGATGATTTGCCCGTTCTGTAAGGATTTTATTGAAACTTCGAACCATTGCCTATGTGTGTTGCAAGGTTGCTTCAAGTATCTAGAAAAATGTCTTAATATGGTGGAATATTGATTTCGACCCTCGCGCATCAACCTCCAATTTGCTTCTATAAGATGGTGGGACACAGATTTTGGCACCGTTTGTGGAGACTGGCAAACTATTACTTGGATCATGACTTATTCTCTATGGAAATACATAAATGCTCGGATCTTCAAAGGGGTCGACGCTCGTGGTGATATTCTTGGTGGTATTCAAATTTCGGTCTTTCCTTTGGATCTCATCAAAATATAAGAATCAGTCAATTTCGAGGACGACATGGTTTAACGCTTACTTGTATGCTGTCTCATGAGCCTTTCTTGGCTTTGTATATGTTATTGGTGTTGTCATCGTTTTCTTGTGGTGTTCTTTCAGTGTGTTTTTCGGAAATCTCGTCCTCATAGATATCCTTCTTGTCGTGCATGATTTTTTGTTTTTCTTATAATTGAATATATCTTATTGATTTAAATACTCAATAAAAATCTCTTGAGAACGTCGTAAGGAGTGAAACGGAAACTTGGGGAAAAGTGGGTCAAACAAAAATAGGCTTCATGAAACAAATAGATTAATTGGAATGTATTTGAATCGAGACTAGTCCCATTTCTGAAAAAATATAAAGGGAAATGAAAAATAGCTGAATTTTTCTACAAAATTTCAATGGAGGTTTAAGTTGGATTAATAAAGGAATACAGGGAAGAGAGAAGGCATTGCAATAGCACTTCATTCACACACACACTCAGTGCGAAAGGGAGGATCACTGAATGACAACATACCATAGTACTCATATTAGTTCACTGGAGAAGATGGACAAGCTCGTCTCTTTAACAAAGCGACGAAGGGAGTATATACTGAGGAGTCGGTTTTGTTAGGATCCAAGCGCTTACCGCTACGCCAAAAGCAATTGCTGGTGAAGAAGGCGCAACTTATTTTCTTATAGCATAGTAGCGAGGGCCACGTTTCGATTTAGGAAGATGCTGATCAATGACCCAACAAGTTTCAATACAAATCATTTCTTAAACAAAGGTAGGACACGTCTTTTGAATATATGCGTGATAAAGTGACATAAAGGGATGACTGGATAAACCCATTTTATTTTGAACAAAACACAACTGGACATCTTTACATGCTTATCGAATAGGTTATTAAGACCATCAAACCATTACCAAGAAAACTATTTGTCTTTTGGGTAAGGTAACCGATCTCATATTGTATGAATTGTGATTTGTAGGAATCATAAAGCTTTTGTGAGATGCATTGTGTAAAAAGATTGTTGTAATTTACTACGGGAAATATGATTTTTCAGGTGATGCAACCTATCCCGTAAGAAAGATTCTATTTGGTGAAATGTAAATTATTTTGGATGTTGGGGTGTTTGGTTCACATAATGGAATTTGGTGGAATTGGAATCCACCAAATAAAGTTGACTTTAAAGGAATTAAAATGAAATTTGACCATACGTATGACTGACATGGATTGGAATTCAATCACACAAAAGAATTGGAATTTGCATGTGTGGGGGG